CAGGCCATTGCTCGAGTGGAATCACAATGGGAAGCGACGAGTTGGTCGTCACTATGAGGGTGATATGGAGGGGATCGTGTGAGGAAGAGATGAGAGAGTTTGGTCAGTCGCGAAGCTAGCCAGCTGAAGAGGACGACAGGAAACATAACAAAGTGGAGATGTATTGTTGAAGCCCTAAGTTCCACTCGGAAACCAAGTGAATAATAATAAAACGAAATAATAATAATAATAGTCAGTTAGTTTTTGAATATTTTTATTTTTATTGCAGCTTGATTCCACACCGTATTTTCAGTACAGGTATGGAATTTTCAGCATGGATATCGGTAGCCCAAACTCAGGCCGACCATAATTATCGGGTGTGCGTCGGCAAGGAATCGAACCCCGGACCATAAGCATGGTCGACGAGAGTCCCAACCACTGTGCCACCGACGCACATGGTCAATGAGAACGCGAGGTGAAGTGAAATGAAATTATATAATATATACAGTCAACAAAAGTACAGGTTTCGAGGGTGAGTGTAATCAGTGGTGTGTGAGACAATATGAATACTGCAGAAAATGAACCAGACATAAGTTCAAGGGTGAAAACAACGACAATAATAATAATTGTAAAATAATAACGATGATGTGGCGTAAACTTAAAAGTACTATTGGTGAATGATTATCAAATAATAATAATAATAATAATAAATTTAGTGAAGTGAGATGAACAAGATTATGTAAATACGATAACAAGTTAGAAAAGCACTAATTAAACCTAAGGTAATAGAAATTATAAGAAAGGTTATAAAACCATAAAAAGCTATAAATGAACGTTTGTCAGTGAAACAAAGGAATAGAAGAAGAAGAAAAGAAAATTGTGATAGGAATTTAAAGTTCTAATGTTTATGGAGGATTTGTTGGCTTTATTGTAGGCCAAGGTAAACATGGAGGTTGGACATACTTCTGTATACAAAGACATAGTCTTCTGATATTGGTTGCTACCGCTTCAGCTACCGAAAGAAGGAGATGAAGTCGAGCTCCTCTAGATAAATTACTAGGAAGGCGGTATGTAACTGAGAACGTCTGCTCAGGTTTTATCGAGTGTCCAGTCAAATTTAGTAATTAATTTGTGACTTGTAATTTATACAGTCAGAGATGAGATTTTCCCACAATTTCCTCTGTAGGACCAAAATCATTCAGATCACAGTATGTACGGACAGTTCGATACCGTAAAATGGTAATCATGACTGAAGGATGCTATATCACCGATTTATTATTATTGTTATTGTTTGCTTTAATTCCCAGGGGGACGTAGGGATTCAGCCGTACATCTCCACTGCGTTCGGTTCTCTGCCAACGTTTTTAACTGGCTCCACGTCTCCCCACATCTTTAATCTTCTCTTCACATCACCTCCTCCATGTCACTGTCGCACTGACGACCAACTCGCCGCTTCCCATTCGGATTCTACTCGAGAGAGAGCCTGGCGTGTGATGTCAATTGGTGGTTTGTTTTCTCAGAGTATGGCCAGCCAATCCACCTCCATTTCTTCCTGCATATTTCATGCAAAATTAGTTCCTGCTGCGTTGGTTCGTCCATTGCCAGAGATCGCTGTTACTGATCTTTTCTGGTCGGCCATCCCATCCTGAGCGAAATATTGAGCGAAGACAGCTGTTGATGAAAGTTTGTAGTTTGTTCGAAGTGGCTTTCATGATACGTTGGACGATTCTCTGATCCGTATTGTAAGTAGCACTGACTTCACATTGGAGTTGAAAATCTGGATCTTATTTTCATTTTCATTCTGAGTTTTGTTGATCTCCTCTACACAGACCTGAGAGTAGTGAAAGCTTTCCTTGCTTTCCCGATCCTCGGTGCTTTGATGCAATCCTCATCAGTTCCGTCCACCTGTATTTGAAACGATGCTTCCCAGATAGGTAGGTAGGTAGGTAAAGGAGGCTGCTTCTTTCAGAATCCTCCCATTTATGCTGATTGTTGTCTGACGTTGTTGTTGCTATTGGTGGTGTTGCCCAGGAGTCTTCATCACCTCTGTTTTCTCTATGTTCACCTGAAGTGAAGTCCTATCTTTGATGCTTCTTCTGTCAACTTGTTCCTTTTCACTTGTTTATCTTCCAATGTGTGTGAAATCAGACATATATATGTCATCGACGAATTCCAGATCACCTAAGTGTTTTTTGTAGGTCCATTTCATGTCTGTTTCCTCATTGCCCGCCTCTGTCTGTCACATTCTCCAGTCTACCACAATCAGGAAAATCATTAAAAATAGTAAGCAGCCAACTTGTCTTACTCCTGTCCTCAGGTCGAAGGATTCCGTAAGTTTCCCATTGTGGATTACTTGGCATGCAGCATTGTCGTACAGCTGTTGGATGAGATGTATAATTGTCGGTGGCACCCCGTAGTAGCGAATCAGTTTCCAAAGCACCTCTCGATCGACTCTGTCGAATGCCTTTTCAAAGTCGATGAAGTTGAGATAGAGAGGTGAGTGCCATTCCAGGCTTTGTTCAATGATGACCCGTAATGTGGCGATCTGATCAATGCATGACTTGTTTCTCCTGAATCCAGCCTGTTCCGGTCGAAGTTTTTCATCCAGGGCGTGTTTGATTCTCTCCAGGATGATGCGGGTTAGTATTTTGCTGGCTAATAGACATCACATTAACAACTGATGGTGTTTGCTGGTAAGATTAGTTTCCAAAGGAAACTATGGTGAAGTTCCGCCACCTCGAACTGCGTAAATTTGTAATCCCCAACTGAATTGCAAGGGGCTAACTTGAATCATCGTTCTTCAGAAGGGGATCATTTTTGCGCTGTCAAGTTATCCCAATTGGTAAAGATAACAAAACCATGTGTAGACTGTTCGGATGGATAAGCGTATGATATTATAAAAACAGCAGGTGTTTGCATAATGAAACTGCTTATCACATTCTTATTGATTTTGTCACTTTCATGAAGGAGGGTAGTGTTGCAACCACGTTAAATTCTGTTATAGTCCATCATTCCCATTCAGACAATTTGGATTCCATTTTATATGAAGTGCTTTGCATGATAGTAGACGTTCTTTATGATTTCTGAAATTTTTCTGGATTATTTCAATATTGTCAAAATCAATTTTTTGACCTGATTCTATAGCGTCGTGTGTAGACCAACTATGGCTGATGATTTTTCAAGTTTTTCTAGTTCAGCTGGATTTCTTGATGGTCGAATAGAGGCAGCTCTACGGCGCCCATTTCTTCTGATTACCTTGATTTCTCTTGAAGTCTATCCGATATGTATATCTCGTCACGTTCCAAGCATTTTATTTTATACACACAACTCTGATGTTGTGTTTAGTGAGTACTCTTCTGATATCGTCTAAAGTTCCCGATCCATATAGAATGACAACTGTTAAGGTCCATGTCTTTGGAATCCGCTTTTTCGACTGTATTTAATGTCAGTATTGATTTTGTTGATGAAGTTCTTTGGGTAGTTATTTTTCTTGAGAGTCTCAGTAATGTTTGATAGTTCTTCGTCTTCTTCTTTTTCTTTCTCATCCATTAACACCAACGCGTGTGCTCCTCTAAGAAGACTTGAAACAACTGATAGCCTTATGTTAATGGAGTATGATGACCAGAAGTCTAAATATTTGTTGGAGTTGGTTTTCTTCCTGAATACAGAAATATTAAAATTCTCAAGGTAAATTCAACATTCAAGAGTTCATTTGTAGTGGTTTTTTGTTTGATTGGTTGGAGGATATCATTGTGAGCTGAAATCGGATGGAGAACCACTGGAAAATCTGCGGGGAGTACTGGACAGCTGTGTCGTCAGTCTAGTTTGAGACTCTTCATCAGTACGCACCTGCAGTCACGACCTTCTAGTTACAAGGCCACCGAGCTCGTAGACCGTTAAGCAGCCATTGGGACCCTATCCAATGGCCAGCCCATAAATTCTAACTTCTGGTCGCTCTCTGTTATGAATTGTGGCAGAAGTTGGAATTCATATACTGGTCATTGGATTGGGTCCCAGTGGCTGCTTAATAGTCTACGAGCTCGGTGGCCTTGTAACTAGAAGGTCGTGACTGCAGGTGCGTACTGATGAAGAGTCTCAAACTAGGCTGACGAAACAGCTGTCCAGTACTCCCCGCAGATTTTCCAATGGTTCACTATCCGATATCAGCTCATGATGAAATCTTTCAATAAATTTAATAGTTTAAAATTTTTATGGACAGGCTGGAAATAATATTACTACTGCTACTACTAATAGCAATAATAATAATATCTACCTAATGATGCAAAAATCGTGTCCAAAGGCATCAGCAAACACACACACACACACACGAAAACAGATACAAAGATCACGTGATGATGTAATCAGCCAGCGAGCCAATCATTCACTCACTCAGCCATTCATAGCCTTTATTAACAATGTACATTTATACATACGTATCTTATTAGTAACGTCTTGCTGTTCTGATACGTTTGCCCAACATTTAATGCCTTTGTTTGTAGTTTGTTACAGTCCTCCTCTCCTTCTGTGTCTCCCTAACCCACACACACACACATATCTACATACATGTACGACACGCATCCATTCTGTCTGGAGCTACCATAGATGCAGTAACACACACAGTGATGTATTACAAAAATTCTAACAAGCATTGTTATGCATACTGCAGTTAATTTCACCAAATCTTGTTGTTGTTGTACAGAATTAACCGAGGAGGACAGAACGACGAGGAGGATGTGGAGAAGGGATAAAGGCTGTTTCTCCTGACTGGTGAGTTCACATTTTCATATCAGATGTTATTTGTTATAAAGGGAGGAGAATTCAGCCTACGCAAATTTTCTAACCATTATATCTGACTATATATTCATTATAATAAACATAGGAATATAAGATATAGAACTACTAATTGACCAATTGACGATGAACCTGATTGGTCGACAAATTGATCGTTTGATTGACTGCCTGACTGAATATAAAGGCAGACAAACGCACACACACATGCACTGACTAACTAAAGGCGGGATAAAATAATTCAAATCAGTCAGCATTTAAATACATGAAAATGTACATAAAAATACTATCATATAGACGTTTATACACTGTGTAATAATTATCTTATAGTAATTATTAACTTGATTGACAGTTTCCAATAGCAACCTATTCAATAAAACAAAGGATTACTTCATTGAATATTGAGTTAATATATATACATTGAACATTGAACAGAGTGAAATTTGAACGCTACATTGGGTCAACAGATATATTGGAATAGATTTAGTTCACTATGTATACATGAGTGGATGATTACGTCACACAGTATTACATACTACTATTACTACTACTACTAATAGTAATAATAATAATAACAAAACTAATTTAAACATGCATACTGATATTAACATTATAAATCAATCGAATACACCAAATTTAACCTCATTAATTGTTCGTGAACGTTTAAAAAATTGTGTATTAAATAAGCGTAAAAGTAAAGAACAAGGTATTGGAGTGGTAAACACATTAACAAATCATCAACAAGAAAGTCAAATACAAACAGTCAAATGTAAAAATAACGCCAACAGCACTACTACTGATAAAGATCTTCAGTTTTATAATAATAATAATGATAATAGTAATAATAAGATATCAGATTTAAATTTTACCGAAAATAATCTCGATAAAATAGAACACAGTAATCTAAATGATTGTATTACCCCACTGACAATTGATATTGAAAAGTTATCCACTGGGAGTAGTACAAATTTAGCAAATCAGATGAAATCTACATTATCCCAATGTAATAATAATAATAATAGTAATAACAGTAGTAGTATTGACGATAATAATGATATTAGTAATGGTATAAGTATTACTAATAGTAATAATACTAATAATAATAGTAGTCAGCCGACTCAACAACTGTTCGGCTCATTTCAAGAAAATGAAACACAATACATGAATTTTCAAAGTTTACAGACATCCATCATTGGAAGTGGTATTTGCGGGAATTTAGTCGGACAAAATAATGACAGTACACCGCCTCTACAACAACATTATCCTCATCATCTCAGTCAGCATTCACAACAACATCCACTTCGACAACAATCTCAACAAAGAATAACCAGTAGTGAAAATCTACGTAAAACTGTCTCGGAACCAAGTTTAAAAATGCGTAGTGGTTCTGGCGGTGTACAAAAGTATCGTTATAAACCAGATCGTCGACATTTTGGTGCTAATTCAGCAACAGCTGCTGTCGCTGCAGCTGCAATGGTTGCCTCTAATGATCCGTTATCTGTAGTTGGCTTTTGGCCACAGTTGACATCGGCATTTCAACATGCTAATTTCAGTATGCAAAAGTCCGCTGGTGGTAAAAAATCCTCGTCGTCGTCATTGTTGTTATTACAACAACAGAATCAATATCAACAACAGCAACAGCAACAACAACAACAGCCGTCACAGTCACAGTCTCATGCACAAGGTCAACTTCAACAGCAACAACGCCAACATCAACGACAAGATACAAGTAGTAATCCATGTTTAACTCAAACAAACGATGATTTAAATCTGTCGGAATCTGAAGCAAAGTGTTTGACTCAACCTTTGCTACCGTTGTCAAAAACACTACAAGATATTATTCTGGCTGAATTTCTTAAATCAAATCAATTAAGCGGTCATACTAATTCTAGTTCTACTACGACTTCTAATACTACTGGTAGTAATAATAATAATAATAATCAAGAATTATTAGAAACGATCAATTCTTATTGTCCTAACCCACAAGGTATTGAATCAATAAATTCGCTGAATGATATCCCCATGAATCCGTGTATATTCAATTCAACAATTAGTGGATTTTGTGCAAGTCTACCGAATTTAACAGCACAATTTCAACGACCTAATCAAAAGAGCACTAATACTCATAATAATAATCCAAATGTGAATAGTACAACGACACCGACGACCCTACCAACAAATAAATCAACGCCTACAACTCAAAATGTCACTGCATCAAGTTTCGATTCGAATGATTTGAGTCAGTTAGATACAAATATGTCAGATGTCAATACTTCAACGGATATTCAAGAAGAATCGACTGAGGAATTAAATTATAATACACAAATGCATACAACAACACCAACAACAACGAATAATAATAATAACAATAATAATAAATTGTTCCATTTATTCCCATATCGTAGACATCAATCACTTGGATTAATTAGTCGAACAAGATCTGCTCCGTTGAGTTTAGCTACAGGCTATTCGACAAATAGACATTATCATCAGTTACACAGTTTCACCGGGGTGCATAATTCAATGAATTCATCAACATCTGTTACATCAGCAGCGAATATTTTAGCTATGGAAGCGGCGGCAGCCTCGAATTTTGCCAGTCAACAAACATCGAACACATCAAATCAATTAATTACAGATCAAGATGGGACAGAGCTGAATAAAAATGTTCAATCAGATGGGGAAGTATCATCAAGGAGTAAAGTTGTCCTACAGTTACGTAAAAAAATATTAGAAAGGTAAGTAAAATAATTCATGTGTAATCCCCATCAAGATATTAATGAAAACAGAACACGTAGATCAGTGACGAATCTCTTTTCGGCGAATTCATTTTCTTAGCTGTACAGTCGCAAATATATATATATATATATATATAATTTTGTATGTAAGTGTACATTAAGTTTGTCAAACAAAAATACAATTGGTTATGGTGGTTTTAATTAAACAGGTGAAGATTGGTAATTGGAGTTACGTAATACAAAATCAGTCAAGAAAATTAGGTGTTATTGAAATCAGGGTAGTAACAAAGGTGATGAGTTGTCCCAAACAGTTGTTAAAAGAAGTTATGTAATAGTATGAATAGTTTGATGAGTGAGTTTTACTTTGATAGAATATTCTTGACTCTGTAGATTATTTTGAAGGAGGCGTTTGTTGAAATGGAATGATCAGTGTTAACCAGGTGTTCAGTTATCACACTCCTTATTGCAGCACTATCGCCTTTTCGCAACCATGCTGGATAGTGTTCTTGAATCCTCTTGGACAGGGTGCGCGTCAAACGACTGATGTACCTGGCTCCATAGCAGCAGTTTTCGTCTTCTTGGTGTCGCTGAAGCTCTGGCTATTCACATAGAGACCGGAGCTGTTCATACAAAAGAGAACTACTCAACCACTTCTACTGTCTTGGTAACAACTTTGTTGACTTTCGATGACTTAATTTTGTTTCTTTGCCTGTTTCTTTAACTGCTTATAATTCTTGCAGGCATTTAGATCTCTTACGTAGTTGCGTATTCTCTACTTTGTTCCTGTGTGTATCCTGAGTAAAACTCACTCATCAAACTATTCATACTATTACATAACTTCTTTTAACAACTGTTTGGGACAACTCATCACCTTTGTTACTACCCTGATTTCAATAACACCTAATTTTCTTGACTGATTTTGTATTACGTAACTCCAATTACCAATCTTCACCTGTTTAATTAAAACCACCATAACCAATTGTATTTTTGTTTGACAAACTTAATGTACACTTACATACAAAATTATATATATATATATATATATTTGCGACTGTACAGCTAAGAAAATGAATTCGCCGAAAAGAGATTCGTCACTGATCTACGTGTTTTGTTTTCATTAAGTAAAATGAGAAGAAGAATGCCATTTTCTATGATTGTATGAATATGTAATTTCGTCCCATTCAGTTTTCGTCAGTGGCTTATAACCTCAATAATAAAATACATTTGTGGCCTCTTTGAACTGATTGTTTCCCCTGAGAAGCTAGTTTATTCAGTTGTGAAGCTTTCATTTTTCCCCCTCTAGACACCATCTACATTTCAGGTTTTAGTATGGAATCAACTCATTTGAATTCGCCAGGAATGATATAATTGTATCCCCTGGCAACCGTTGTCGTGCGTGACTGGTTGTTAATTTACATCTTCATTGATCATAATTTTATTGACTTGGAATTTGAACTTTCTAGCCACGGGATTTACTTTTTTTATTAGCTGGTATATTTGATTAATCGCTTATTCACTTGAGTACCAGGCTTCTCAAAATCCCTTGGCATTACTTTTGGCGTTTCCTTCCTGTATTTAAAATTTCTACACTGTCCCAACCATCAAATTGGTACTCGTAATTATCTAAATGCATTGATGTGAAACAGGAATGTATATCATGTCTTTTTACAGGTAATTTGTGTTCTTGGATTTGGAGTCGTAGGCGACGCCCACTTTGATTGATGTAATGTCTATTGCAGTTCATGCAATTTATTTTATAATTGGTCATGAAGAAAATAAAAGACAAATTCAGCGAAGAAAATTTTCTTTATCGACGAAATCATCTTCACAGGCTGCCGTACAGTCGTATTTATATTTACCAAAAATGTATAGTAGTCTATTATTGAGTAATAAGGAGGCGGGGTGACATAACTGAAATAATTACTCAGAAGTGGGAAACTAGAATGACTCAGACAAGTCCTCATAGACAATGGATATCCTCCAAGATTCGTCGAGAAAAAAAGAAATTAAAGTAAAAGCCTGAAAGAACCCAGATGGTGCCGAAGAAACTGGTATTTATGAACGTTGAATTTAAAGGTGATACTGCAGCTGAGATCCTGAAGAATCGCTTATCCAGATCACTAAGGAAAGCCTTCTTTACGCCTGAGCTACGGATCAATTTCTACAGCCGTGATGTGTTGTTTTTACGCAATGGAATTGTCAGCCTCATGCCCAACTATTTCCTCTTCACAGAGCTTACTATCAATTAATCGAACTTTTGGAGTGAGTCGGTTGGATATTGAAACTTCTACCACATGGGTTGCTGACAGTTATTCTACCACTTAGCTACCGATACACACTGTTGGACAAGGACAAATATGAATTCTAAGCTAATATGATTACATTTGACAGGGGAATGGATTTAAGAGATGTCAACTGACATTTTACAAAAACAAATACAGCTGCTAGTGAAACATCCAACAGTTGTACGACAGTGCTGCATGTCAAGTAATCCACAACGGAAAATTCACGGAATCATTCGAAGTGGAGACAGGAGTAACCAAGCTGGCTTACTGGCTGGCTGCTTACTATCTTGAATGATTTTCCTGATTGCGGTCGACTGAATAATGTGACACACAGTGGCGGGCAGTGAGGAGACTGGCATAAAATGGACGCACACAAAAAACTTGGAGGATATGTCTGGTTTCACATAAGCTGGAAGATATACAAGTGAAGAGCAACAAGCTGACAGAAGAAGAAACATCAAAGATAGGATATCACTTCAGGTGAACATAGAGAAAACAGAGGTGATGAAAACTCCTGGCCAACACCAACAGCAACAGCAGTAAGAACAAGGACAGACAACAATAAGCATAAATGGGAGGATTCTGAAAGAAGCAACCTCCTTTACCTACCTACCTACCTACCTATCTGGGAAGCATCATTTCAAATACAGGTCGATGGAAATGATGAGAACATCATCAAAGCAGCGATGATCGGGAAAGCTAAGCAAGCTTTCACTACTCTCAAGTATGTGTGGGGGAGATCAACAGCACTCAGTATGAAAATGAAAATAAGATGCGGATTTTCAACTCCAATGTGAAGTTAGTGCTACTTACTATACGGATCAGAAACTTGGCCAACGCGTCACGAAGGCCACTTCGAACAAACTACAGACTTTCATCAACAGCTGTCTCGGTTCAATACTTCACTGAAGAGTAGATGGCCGACCAGAAAATATCAGCAACGGGGATTTCTGGCAATGAACGAACCAACCCAGCAGGAAACAGTTGTGCAACAAATATGCAGGAAGGAATGGAGGTGGATTAGCTGGCCATACTCTGAGGAAACAAACCATCAAGTGAGTGACATCACACACCAGGCCATCGCTCGATTGGAACTCGAATGGAAAGCGGCGAGTTGGTTGTCAGTGCGAGGTTGACATGGAGAAGGTGATGCAAAGAGGTGACAAAAGCATGTGGGCAGACGTGTAGCCAGGTGAAAACGTTGGCAGATAACTGAACGCAGTGGAGGCGTGTGGCTGAAGCCCTATATTCCTCTAGAAATTAAAGGAAACAATAATAATAAATAAGACTGAAACTTCAAAACTCAAGCTTGAAGCCCTATGTTCCACATGCAACACAAAAGGTTAAAGGAACAAGGAAACTAGTATAGCTAGTTGATCTAAGTACGAAACTTCTAGGAATTCTCTAGCATTCTTTAAGTGTTCTCCATTTAACTCTATGACATATGAAAGAAGCTTTGAGACTTAATAATTACAAGGCAAGCTCATAGACCATTAAGCCACTGAGACGCGATCCAATGGTCCATGAATTCTAACTTCTACTAATTCGAGATTTTAGCGTGGCAACCAGCCAGTGTCATCTATGAGTATTTACAACACCATGCTCGCTGATCATTCAAGTACTTAGGCTGGAACTCAATAACCTGTGATATAGCGCTGCTCTCGTCAGTACCTTCGACAAACATCCACTTCACTTTAACATCGTGGACCCCACTGGTCACGACTTCTTACTACACCTTCAAGACATTCGTCCGGTAGCCCTAAATGACCTGGAGACTGATGTACTTAGATCTGGTCAAGAACCTACTGATTTTACTCTAGATTTCGCCAGCGTTTTCCTCTCCAATAATCCAGTAATCGCCCTGACTTTCTTCTTTGACCTATGGCTCTTGAACTCACAACCATTGTAGGGTATGAGATAAACCAAATGATTTCGTTTAAATGGCTCTGCAGGATTGTTGTAACCGATACAATTTGTTCCTAAGTGAGTCATTGAGCTCAAATACCACTCTTACTGTTGCCTTGCTGCAAATTCCACACTAAGCAGTAGTAGTGATACTTTAAATTACTTAATGCTGCTTCGCACCAGTTTGGGACTCGTTGGCAGCATGCACCCATCGAAGTTCGAACCCAGGACCTTCCGGTCTACCAGGTTGCCTGGTAACCTGTAGGTGAGTACTTCTCATGAACCTCAAACTAGGACGAAATATCTGTTCAGTACTCCCTCGTTTCCAATGGTTCTTTAACTGATATCAACCCGTGGTCAAACTTCAAACAAATCAAATTCCTACAAACTAACGCTTGAAATTTAATCTGATGCTTTCCAGTGGCTGCCTGCAGGACGAACTTGACTGGAGCTCTTTCTAGTAAGAAGTCATTAACAGTGGGGTCCACGATGTTAAGGTGAAGTGAATGCTCCTTGAATGCATTGGTGAGAGTACCGTCATACTATGTGATTTAATAACCACAATGTACAAAGTATTCATAGACTATTAAAAACGTGCTAAACTTAATATCACTGAAAAAAAGATTTAGTGAAGATTTCGAATTAGTAGATGGTTAGTGAAGATCGGAGAGAAGCCCTGCTTTACCTAGGTTTCGTCGTTGTTGACACTCATCAGTCAACAAGGCATATCTGCAGTCTTCAAGGAACTCTTGCCCCTTCAAACTTGAATAGCTCAGTGATAGTGTCTCTGACTTCAGCACTAGACGAGTCGGGTTCGAATCTCAGAAGGAAGACGATTTCCTCCAAGATTGCAGATACGACTTGCCAACGAATGTAAACCTAGGTCCAAGGCTTCTTGTGATCGATTGCCTCGAACCATCCCACAACAATTCGCAGTCCACCGTTATAATGAGATATTGTAGCATGGTGATTACATTGCAAACGTAAGCTATAGAATTCAGTCTGCATCAATTCCAAGGATTAGACGGTTGACACTAGTTACCACCTAGTATCCAGTCAAATATTTGGGATTATTTTGACTTTATGTGCATACTCCATATTACTTGTTGGTTGTATTGTATTACCCAACAACTATCATTTGTGATTCTAGTTAACTATGGGCCAAATCCGCTAGAGCCCGTGGTACTACCTGGACCTGTAACCGAGTGGTTTAACTACAGCCTTAATTTTTTATTTATTTTTTATTTACAGCTTGATTCCACACCGTATTTTCAGTACAAGTGTGGAATTTTCAGCATGGATATCGGTTGCTCAAATTCAGGCATACCATAGATATCGAGCGTGCGCCGGCAGGGGCTCGAACCCCGGACCATGTGCATGGTCGGCGAGAGTCCTAACCACTGTGCCACCGACGCAGTGATTTAATAGTGATTCCTGAGGTCTTCCTCGTATACTGTCAGGTGGTGGTTTGGTGAAGTTGTGTGAATAACTATTCTTCTCAGGAAATATTTTCGAAGTTATCTTTGAAGATGTTGTCTAGAATGATAATGAAAGCTGAGTGATTAAATCATCCAGCTTAGGTTGAAACAACAGTAGACGAGGGCTAGGCCACAGATTGTTTATTGGGAAAATCAATAGGTATTTATAGATTTTTATGGACATTATCATTCGCGTTATTGTTAGCAGAGAAGTGACGTCTTCTGATTGGTTGTTTTCTTGCTCAAGGTTATTCTGTCCTCACTTTGTGGCCGTTTCTTAGAAAGTCAAGCCATATACCTGCAAATCGTATTTGCACACATTAAGTGTGCTGTGATTGGTTGGTGAGCCCCTCAAGGTTGAGCTTTGTTATTGTTTTTTTCTCACGACCCGGATTCGGGACGTGAACACTGACTTTTTTGTTGTCTACAATTTTGTCATGCAGACAGCAGTCACCACAAGGGGACCCAGCTGTGACACTAAAATCCTCCAACTAAGTCGTAATTTTCTCTCATCACTACAGTTCTACTGAAGACATCTCTGAGCCTGATGAAAATAATGATGACGTAGATGGAGTCCCAATTTTTTCAACTTTTGAATTTAAATTTTATTTTTTCCCCCACTTTATTTCAGATCAGAATTTTTAACATCAGATCGTTCAGGTGTAAGCAGTTTAGATTCAACTTCATCTTTATCTAGAACGTTGAATCAATCGAATGGTCGTGGCAACCCCTTACTAGAAAGGACAGCATCTAGTCCTGTCGTGAATATGGCGCCAACTTTAAGACCTGAAACTGTACCTGTAAGTTGATATTGGAATGTTTTCAAAGTATTTATGTATATATTCAAATTGCACAAGTGTGTTTTGCAAGGATATAAGACATCTGAAGTTGTATTTTCTAACATTTTAAGAGCATTTAAATAAGACATTTAGACGATGAATATTGCGAGGGAGTATGAGTTTGTAGTTTCTCTACAACCGAGTTACAACCAGTGGTATATCTGGTTTCCTGATAGCTTCAGGTACATGTGGAGAAGACGAACTTAATTAAAATTAGTCGGAATAAGGTAGACAAGTTTAAATGTCTTGTTACCACAGCTACGAATAAACGTTATTTCTTCCTTGCTAAGCGTCCATTTTGGGATGATATTCAGAAATCCAACGATAAATATGCCCATTTATACGTTGAAAGTAACTAGCTCCACAGAAGTAGTAAAGTTGGTAGATACACAAAGAGAAGGAGGCAAAATATGACAGTTTAAACTTATTTCTCGAAAGCTAAATTGGAATGGTTTTGATGTTACCAAAAAGAAACTGATGCATTATGAACAACAGCTTCTTTGGAACTGTTGACGTTCTAGCTCACCTTAGTGGCAAAATCATATTTTTTTATTATTAATGAACGTTCCTGGGTGACAATTTGTTGACAAAGTTATTTCTGATAACTTTAAGCTCTTCATTAAGAAAGTAGTTTGAGCAGATTACTCGAGGTCTATGAATTAAACGCTTAACTAAATTTCGTTTATATTTCAAAGATAGAGAACTCAAAAGATGGGTACACTGACCACTTGATTTAGAGTTTCGAAATGTGCTTTTTTGCTTACCTTCACAGTGAAACACAGGGCTTCGATCTTGATCGCTGATGTTTCAGCAACTGTGGTGTTTATTTTTTAAAGAGCAGACTTTGGAGCTTTACCTCAAACCTCCCCTCTTTACAGAGCTTACTACCAGCTAAGCGATATTAAGGAATGTGTCAGTCAAACATCTAACTACAAACTGTGTGCATGGTTGGCGAGGACTCTATCATTTAACTGTCGATGCTCTTAGATTCTCCATCTACTCCTTTTATACTCTACCGTTCTCTTTCTTAGTCATAAGGATGTCTAGGAATAAAATAGTATTATTCCCTGTGTCAAATATGGGTTTTCAAGGATTTGATTGGTTAGAGGGTTGATCATGAGGTGATGTCAGTCCTGGATGGTGTTCTTTCCTAGTATGGACCTTTTCGTCAATACGCACCCTCTTGGTTCTGAAACTAGAACTTTCTGGTTACAAGAAGAGCTCATAGACCATCCAGCCACTGGTAACCGGTTGGATGACCCATGAATTCCAGCTTCTACCAGTCCGGTGAGTAAATGTTTTCTCAACTGCTTTGGTGGACCAGACTGGTAGTGAAATTTTACCTGAGAAGCTCTTCATGGGGGGACATTTTAGATCAATTAGTCTGCCATATGTAGTTGACAGCGAGCCCCGAGGTTACTAGCCTCAATGGTACTGTCTCAGGCTGCACCAAAGGATGACTTGGTTTCAGATCTCTAAAGGGACATCATTTCCTACGAGATTGTAGATGTGCATTGCTGACGAGCAGGAGGTCTAGGTGTGGAATTTCTTGTCGATCGCCTCCCAACCAACTGACGCACACACACACATTTATTCCATCATTCTAAATTCTCCTTTCTTTGACATCAACATTAGCTAATTATAGTAGCATGTATGAAACTTGTCTTCTGATTAGAGAAGGGGTAAAAAAAGTAGTGGACGAACAACTTGTCATGGACTATTTACTGACATTCAGAATTTATTCTCTTTTTAATTTTCAGTCAACCATAACCAAAATTCACTTATATATATTTCTATGCGATAAATTCTTGAAAATTTAAAAATATAAATTACTATTATGCACACTTTTCTTCCTTCATAATTGTAGACGAAATTTTTTCAAGAAATGTTTAGATATTTTTGTTTATCTACACTACATGATTGTTATTTTTTGCGCTAAATTTAAATTCATCGGAGATGCGCGCTCGCGCGCGCAAACACGTACACATACAGACACGAATTTAAACAAACATGCATTGAATCGTGCAATTCCCAAATTCAACATAGAGTAGAAGTATATATATATATATATATATATAGGGAAAAGTAGAAATAAGGAGGTCTGAAAAGTATTTTTAAAATATACAAGACCAAAAACAAAATCTTTTTATAATGGTGGGAAGGAAATAATATTATTTCTTCTAGTTTAGTTTAGTTTAGCTTAGCTTCGTTTCGTTAGCTAGTCAGTTAGCTAGCTAGCTAGCTAGTTAGTTAGTTAGTTAGTAAGTTTCTCTGTCTTCTTGCTTACCCATCCGTGTATTGAAGCATTGAAAATTCTTATTAACCAATAGGCTGACTGTATTCGGCCTGAAGGTCATCCATTGGGAAATTGTCCAAAAGCTGGGACTGAATTTTCATAGGATACAATCACACACAAGTAAAACATTAAAAAAAGAGGAGAAGAGAACTGCTAATGGTCGATGAAGGATTATTATTTTCGTTCTTTTTTTTGTGTTTTCTGTTTTTGGTGATTTTTTTGATACAAAAAAGTCTAAATTTAGACAGAATGAATATTAGCTAACTGGGAGTTAAAATCTAAGCAAGGCTTAACTATTAATGTGCGCAGATATGAAAAAAGAAGCTGGGAAGAATTATTTTTCAAATTTTTTTCTAGTTATTGTCACTGTGTATTTTGTCGAAGTATTTTGAAATTTCTCTAAATAATTTAAACAGAATGAAGAATTAAGGTTTTATGAGATCAGTATATGATAAAAATAGAAAGAGATTCCTGAAATTCAACACTTCCTTAGTGGACTTTGAAGTTTCTGTCACGATTGGGTTGACTTTCCACGGTAGTGTTTCTGTCCCCTCCCCCCAAAGATAGATCTTCCCTATTTTACTGGGGTTAGGCCGCGCCTAGTCAACTGGTGAACTAGTAAACTTGACTAGACAGACCTCCTTGGTTTTGAAAGCAATTTGGATGTCTGATGATGCACTCAACATCAATGCTATGTAAGTCAGTTCTTCTAATATGAATCAAAGTCTTCATGTGTGTGACGATTAGCACTTCCAACAGGCTACTACAGACCTCCATTAAACAGCTACATTTACTGACTCAATACTTAAGATCAAATGGAACTCTGAAATTCAGTGAAACAACCAACCACAAAATGAAGGAAATAAAAGACAAATTCAGCGAAGAAAATTTTCTTTATCGACGAAATCGTCTTCAGAGGCTGCCGCACAGTCGTATTTATACTTACCAAAAATATGTAGTGGTCGATTATTGAGTAATAGGGGAGTGGGGTGACATAATTGATATAATTACTCGGAGGTAGCTTTAGAAGTAGAAAATTAAAAGTTGTAAATTACGTGGTACTCAACGGTACAAAGACAGAAATTTGATAAGGTTAAAATTGCTAATGAGTGAGAATAAAGGAGGTAGTTGAGTACCAATTCAAAGAAAGTGAATAGGGTGTGAAAATGTACAAAAGGAGCATATGAGAGTGATAATAGTGAATTAATTATTAAAGCAAAAGCGGACTAAAAGTAAGATTAAAAATTGTAAAAGAAAAGAAAAAAATCAAAATTTTGTTTTCAGGGAACGACTAGTGAAGAGGTTAAGACGAAGGTAGAATAAGAGACTGGACAAACCTTTTCTGTATACAGAGAGAGAGCTCGGGGTTGTATTGATGAATGGCCAACGCCTTCGCCACAAATTGCATGAAAAATTCCCAAAGAAAATGAAGGCACACGCACACACGGTGGAGACCAATGAATGACACCTTTCACCAGACCGTATCTCGAGTGGAATCGGAATGGAAGACGACAAGTGAAGCATGACTTTGGGGGTGAAATTGGATAAGATTGTGTAAGGAAAAGACAAGAGCTTCTAGGCTGTCGTGGAAATACTTAAAGAGGACTTAAGAGAACTATATTTTCTGTGATAACTTTTAACAGACTCCATAACTGCCCAGTATCTCGCATTGCCTTATCACAAGATCTCCATGTCTTCCAATCAACGACGTTCAACGCGTAACTTTTCATTCAAGTTGGTTTACTGTTGGAGATCCTAGTCACTTATCCTTTCTGGGCAGCTGGCCATCTGATAGTTAGTGAAGGGCCAAGGCGGCTGACGTTGAAAGTATTCAGCCTTTTGCGAATGCTTTCTGTGAGGCGGTGGCCAAGTTTCTGAACAATATAGAATCACCCAATGACTTGACATAAGCAGACAGACATAATCAATATAGTTTGGGACTCTTCATCAGTACGCACCCACCACAGAGGTTTGAACACAGGGCGAGCTCGTAGACAATTAAGCCACTACTGGGACCTGATCCAACGGCCAGTCCATGAATTCTAACTTCTGCCAATTCATGACACAGTGTGACCAAATAGCAATGTCTTCTTTGATGAGTAACTGTCCTCACCTTCGAACCGCTGTACTCTACTGGTCACGGCTTCCCACTAGAATAGGGAGAAGTTAGAATTCATAAACTTGCCATTAGATTGGGTCCCGATGGCTTAATCGTCTACGAGCTAGATGGCCTTGTAACCAGAAGGTCCTGGGTTCAAACCCCTGTGGTGGGTGCGTACTGAGAAGAGTTTTAGGCTACGACGAAACAGCTGTCCAGAACTTCCTGCAGGTTTTACTGTGATTCTCTAACTGATGTCAGCCCATGATGAAGTCCTCCAACCATTTAAACAAAATCCCTACAAAAACAATCTTATGTCATTAATAATAAGGATTTGCTTTATTTCCTCCAATGTTTCATTGTGATATGGAATCACCACAATACTTACTCAATTCTTAGAATCAGGTATGATGCATCTCTTATCTTCACTTTTTACATATCCTTTTAGAAAAGCTTTCCAGTAATTATTTGATTCATGAGTAGACTGAAGCAGTTTTGATCCCCGGTTGATCTACTCCTCAGTAATTAGACGTTTATCTCTGTTAATCAGATTCCTAGCTACAGTTA